TTTAAATAGAGAAGATTAAGTTTAGATAATTTGATATAAGCATTTAAAACAAGCCTCTTTTAACACAGAGCAGAAAATGAGATTAAAAAATTTATTTTTCTCCATACTCCTCTTTATTTATGCCTTTACGTATCTGGCTGTGTATATGTGGTATAAAATTACATTTTCGCAATATATTACTTTCGAGATAAAAAATGTGCTTATCTTTAGTAAAAGCTCAGAATTATATGACTTGCAAAATTCATATGTGCCTTCGAATTTAGTGGATTATTTTATTTTTTCTTTTTCTCCTCTTTTCACCATCTTTTAGTCCTTTTTCTTTCCACGCTCTTATGCTCTCTCTCTTTAATATGTTAAATGGCGAAAAATGAAATCTCCTTATCTCTCTCTCATCTTTATGATGAAAACTCACGAATCCCGAGTAAACACAGAAAAATTCGCGATCGAAATCTGCGCGCACATACGCGACTTTTTTAATCTTATCGTTCTCCTCTTCTTATACGAATGTGTTCTACATTCCACATCGCCGAAAATTGCCGCGTATCCTGGGGCGGGCCTGAAACGAGTTTCAGGATCGCTCATCGATTTCGACGTGATGCGTATTTCCGTGCACGTTCGAGCGTAAACAGTGATTTCGCGAACGGAGGAGATATCGCTGTCTCCTTATCGAGCTTCCGCGCGTATACTTTGCGAATATTCGATACGAACGGATTCAGCAAGGATGAGGCCCTGGAAAGATTGATAAGTAGAATAAGAGAAACTTTTTTTTTCTGAGAGAGAAAGAACTCCATCGTATTCGCTCGCACAATTTTGTAACGAATATCGTGTAATCTTACATCGAATCCGCGATCATACTCGTATTAATCGTGCAGCTGTACACAGTTGAAAAATTTCTGCCAAATTTAACAGATATGTCCCAAACGGTCACATAATATGGATATGTTAAATGGAGACACAAATATTGTGTTAATATTTTAACACAAAAGAAATGCAAAACTTTAAATAATTTAAAATAAATTTTGTGTAAGATTGACATACTTTTAATGTAAAAATTAACAAAAAATATATTAATTGTAGATTTGATCATCCTTACTTATATTATAAAATAGAAAATTAAAAATTTTTTCTGTAAATATTTTAACAGATAAATCTTGCCACTAATAAAGCAGAACATATTTATTGTGTAAAATTAAAAATAGATGCACCTTGTGTTATTTTTGCATTTTTTCAGTTGTTTTAATAATTTAACATTTAAGTTCAATTAACAGATCAGTAATATGTTAAATTAACACATAAATGTGTTAAATATTTACACAAAAGTGTTTTATATATTTATTAACGTTATATTGATAAAATATAATTAAAATGAGATTAATTCGTGATCTCGTGCTTTTTGAATTCGTATCGTTGCACAGTATTAATCTTCTATTAATCATATACATCTAATATTTTTAATATAATTTTATAAATATATATACATATTTATATTTACTTTACTATAATTATATAAATATTCAAATTAGAATATATTTATATTATTATAATTATTTAATAATATTGTTATATTGCTATAATAAAAATAATAATTCTTTATTAATATTTATGGTGCGTTGTTGCACTTATCATTATATGTATATATAATGCAATAACAAAAAACTTAAATTTTCTCTTTTCTTAACTATCCTTCGAGGTAGTTCTGTATTTCGGAGGATAATCTATTTGAAACTATGTCGTAAGTTGGTCAGACACTACGATCGATCGCTTTAATTTTATTATCTCACTTCGTGACTGCTGTACCTTGATCTCTTCTCTTCTCTACTTCTTTTTCTTTTGCTCGCTCTTGCCTGCTCGAAGCTACTTCCGTATTTTCCGTGCTCTTTCCGCCCTTATTTTCACGAACCCTTCGAGATCGCGTTACGTTCTCTCACAGTTTCTTCTTTTTTTCTTCTTATCTTTTATGCAATACCAGAGATACATTATATCCCGGAGTTAGAAAATTCTTGAATGAGAAGGATCACCTTTAACTTGTGTCTTAATTGGAATATCGATCGCATTAATATGTTAAGTATTTTTTCTTTATGGATATTTACGTGAATTTGTTATTTTGCATTATCAACTTTTCCAAGACAGAGAGCGAGAGACAAATTTTTAAATAAAGAAAATGCATCAATATAAATTATTATATATTCTTAAAAATTAATCATACACGCATCAATATTTTTTTTCAAATAGTATTTATCACATCTAATATTTTTAATATAATTTTATAAATATATATATATATATATATATATTATATATTTATATTACTATATATTACTAATATAAATATTCAAATTATGATATTATATTAATTATAATATTATATTTATCGATATTTTTTTTTTTTTGATAGTTGCAATATTGAAATTTCTGTACGAATAAAAATCTATTCGATTCTTGTTAATATTATCTTTTCGAATCGCGTGTCACCCTACGACTGCGAATAGCATCCATTCGCGTGCAACGCAACGCGGTGCATGGAGATGCACGATGGATTTTATATCGCGCGTGATTTACCTCGCGATAGAGATGGAGGAGAAATCTCGGAATCTTACACGACGCGAAAGATCTCTCTCCCTCTCTTTCTGATTTTTCGTTACCGGCATATTTTACGCGCGCGCGTCGCTGTGCAAAAATTCAGGCCAGACCGATAGATATCCCTTGTCACGTATCGACGTATACCGGGAGAGATGATACGGATGCATTGAGAATGATGCGAAACCTCTGAGACGAGGCGCATTTTTCTCCCAGGTGGTAGTGTGGAAATATTCGTGCGCGGATATGTAATGTAAATCCCTGCAAATATCCGCGTATGTCCCATTCCGCGAGTTCTTGGTAATGGAATTTGACATTAGGAGCGACGCTAGAAGGAAAGAAGGAATATAGGCAGCTAGAGAATGAAAGAGAGAGGAAGGGAGATTAAAAAAAATATATAAAAGATATGATATCTGTGTGTACGAAATTATTATAGAATTGTTAAAAAATCTTAATTTGATAATTAATTAATTAATTAATAATAAAAAATAAATTAATAAAAAATTAATAAAATCAATAATTAAATAAATAAATAAATCCATTAATTAATTAATAATTTGATAATTAATTAAATATTAATATTTACATTTTGTTTTATGCAGAAAGAAAATGGGAGCACGTGTAATGTAAATCCCTGCAAATATTCGCGTATATGTCCCATATTCCGCGGGTTAGTGGTAATGGAATTTGACATTAGGAGATCCTCCTAATTTTACATTACACATTCTCCCATTTTCTTTCTGCATAAAACAAAATGTGAATATTATTAATTAATTAATTATCAAATTAATATTTTTTAACAAATCTATAATAATTTCATACACTCAGGTCAACGCTAGAACGAAAAGAAGGAATATATAAACAGCCAGAGAATGAAAGTAAGAGAGAGAAGGATTAAAAAATATACAAAAAAGATAGATATCTGCGTGTTTCACTGCGTGAAATTATTATAGAATTGTTAAAAAATATTAATTTGATAATGAATGAATTAATTAATAATATTTCTTTTTTTGTTTTATGCAGAAAGAAAATGGGAGGATTAATAAAGAATTATCGTAAAACCTTAGAATTTGATATTAGTGAACTAATTAAGTTCTCTGAGCTTAAAAAGTTATCTCTTTTTTTCTATTAATTATGCAGATTTATATTATAGCATTTACTGTAAATGTATCTTTAATGAACTCCAAATATGATGATGTACAAGGATTATATTAGCAAATATTGAGATATGTAGATTATGCAAATTTGAATTACATTTTTTATGTTGCTCTTTAATCTTTCTTATATATTCCTTGAAGTAATTATACATCAAATATCCGAGTGACAGAAAATAGTAATTGCAAATTTGTTTCTCTCTTTCTTTCTCTCGAATTTGATATACCATCTGCGAAAAATGTATAGCGATCGCGAAGGAATATCCTTCTTTGTCTCGACATCTCTAATGCTCGAACCCGTGATTATTATCAACGCAATACGCGGTCGTTAATGGATTAAACTCGTAATTTACGTCACAATCAATTACGAATTACCGACTCGCACCCGTAATTCGCCTGTTAATTGCATTGTTAATTATAGATTTTTCGTTATAAGTGCACGCGCGCGACGGCGAATGCATGCGTAATTAATCAATTAAGAGCTGTCGCGCAAGCGGAAGATTACGTGCTCTTGGCAATTCCATTTAGGATCAGAGTCATTTGTAACGGTCCGTTACGTGCGTTACGTGCCCGGCTCTCTGTAACCCTGACATTTTTAGTGCAAATTGCGATTTGAATATTTTGCACTCGCCATTGGCTTTGTAAATTGAACCGTTGTTTACAATATCGTTGAAAAAGCTATTACGCAGCCTGCTAAAATACCAATAGTACACTGCTATTAAATTAAAACAACGTTTCAATTGATTCAAAGGCCCAATAAACGAGATAAATTATTTTCACTTTTTTTATTTACTTTAATTTTTACATTTTTTACATGTTTTTTTTATCTATTCCTTCTTTTTCTTAGTTTTCTTTATAACTGATCTACGAGAGTCTTTAGCACATCTTATATACAAATTAGGACACTCATTAAAATGAAATGTATAAAAAATCTAATCAATATGGCAGCCAACTCAGGCCTGTCATATAATAATATATTTCACTATTTTTAAATCATTTAATAAAAATTATTCTTAATATTTAATATTTAACCGTGATTATTTTTAACATTTTTTCAATTGTGCACAAGATCTATCAAAAAACTGTCAAAATAAAAAAATCTGCGCTGGCGCACACTGAATAAATCGGCCTGAGTTGGCAGCTATATTAGTTACATTTTGTCATGCTTGACAGCATGTAGTCGATGTAGAAGTGTCCGACCTGTATATAAGACGTGATCCTCAGTGTCTTAACTGATTAAATATAATTTTTGTTTTATTGTATTTACAGATCATCCAAATATCAAGTGTTATTTGGGTCACGGAGGACTTCTCGGACTCTCGGAGTCTGTCTACATAGGACTCCCGTCGATTTTGATACCGATGTTTGGCGATCAGTTTCATAATTCGGCTGCAGTGAAGACCAGAGGTGCCGCGATAGTACTAGATTTCAATAATTTCAACGAACAATACTTTAGACAAGCTGTGGACGCCTGTTTCAACGATACCAGGTATGTTGCTATTCAGTTTCGTTCGATTAAAAAATATAAACGTGTGCTGAGGAAAAGAAGCTAACAACAAATTTCTTTTCTTCGAAAAAACTTATATATGTATAAAATATATACATATACGAAAAATTTTAGGGGATGATTCTTTATCGAAAATTAGGAGGAAGGTTTATTTTTTCTCAAATTTCAGGCAAATTTAGAAAATAAAACTTGGTGGATATTTTCCACTAATAAAAAAGATATTTATTAACCCCCTTTTTTAGAAAAGTGTAACTCCTCAGGGAGGGATATAAGAAACCCTCTTTAATTTTCTACAAAGAATCTCATCTAAATTTTTTCGCGCTTATTTAGATACACCCTGTATGTTCTGCTACATTGAAACGAGTTACATATAAATCTGCCGATTCATTTCGCGATAATTTAATTGCTCATTAGCGAGAAGATCTCGAGAAGAGAATATAAAATCGTCGCCAGATTAATAATTAAAATTGGCGATTATTATTTTATTCGGAGCATATCCGAGATTAACTTCGTCGGCGAGAATATATATATTCGACGCGATGATTTTCTGGAATTTCGCCGATGTATATTTCCCCGACGCAGAGTTACTTATTACAGCGTGTAAGTTCCCACTGATATCGGTCACGTGAAAATTTCTCGCGCGCGAGAAGCGTCGTATAGCTGGGGGAGGAAAAAGGATCGCGGGGTGAAAAAAGGAGAATCGCATAATCTCTGTGCGGATATTCGCTCCGTTGAATATCTCACGAGCCGTCCGGACATACCGGATATCCGGCGAGTGCATCGTCGTTGCAGCCGAGGCGCCTCGTTAATCCGGCTCACTTGCAACCTCCTTTTCTCTCTCTCTTTTCTTCGTTTATTTTTCTCTCTCTCTCGCCCAGTATTTTCAATGCTCTTCATTGACATCCCTCTCTTTTCATCCGACGCTTTTACATACCGCTGTCTCTCGTTCGTTTTCCGAGAAGATAGACAGTCGGGGGGTTGAAAGATAGAGTGTCCAAAATTCCTTGATTTTTTCAGATTTTCCAAGACCAGAAATTCATTTTTTCCCCGATTTTTTAGTATTATTTTTCCCAAATATATAATTTGCATATATCTATATGATAAATCAATTAAATGTAAATCATGAAATCCTTGAGATATTTATAAATGACATTGTCAGGGAATTTTATAAATCTAGAATTGTCAGGAAAAAGTCAGGAAATTTAAAATAATTCAAAATTTCAAATTATTAAGACAAATATAGAATAATGTGAAAAAATCCAGATAAATAGTAAAATTTCCCGACTTTTCCCTGACAATTCGAAATTTATAAAATTTCCTGACATTGTCGGAGAATTTTACAGATCTGGAATTGTCAGGGAAAAGTCAGGAAATTTAAAATAATTCAAAATTTCAAATTATTAAGACAAATATAGAATAATGTGAAAAAATCCAGATACCATAAATAGTAAAATTTCCCGACTTTTCCCTGACAATTCGAAATTTATAAAATTTCCCGACATTGTCGGAGAATTTTACAGATCTGGAATTGTCAGGGAAAAGTCAGGAAATTTAAAATAATTCAAAATTTCAAATTATTAAGACAAATATAGAATAATGTGAAAAAATCCAGATAAATAGTAAAATTTCCCGACTTTTCCCTGACAATTCCAAATTTATAAAATTTTCCGACATTGTCGGAGAATTTTACAGATCTGGAATTGTCAGGGAAAAGTCAGGAAATTTAAAATAATTCAAAATTTCAAATTATTAAGACAAATATAGAATAATGTGAAAAAATCCAGATAAATAGTAAAATTTCCCGACTGTTCCCTGACAATTCCAAATTTATAAAATTTCCCGACATTGTCGGAGAATTTTACAGATCTGGAATTGTCAGGGAAAAGTCAGGAAATTTAAAATAATTCAAAATTTCAAATTATTAAGACAAATATAGAATAATGTGAAAAATCCAGATAAATAGTAAAATTTCCCGACTGTTCCCTGACAATTCCAGATTTATAAAATTCCCTGGTACAATGCCCGGTTCGCAAGATTTCCCTGATCGCTATAGACATCCTGAAAGAAAGGAGAAAAGGGTCCAGAAGGTATATCCAGGGCACTCTTGGCCCTCTGGCAGGCAATTTTTTTTTCCCTCCCTTTCGTCACTACTCCCCTCGTTGAAAATTCGAGGCACGAATCGCGGAAAGAGCGAACGTGTTCCCCGGATGGCTCTCCGGTACTCTCTTTTTGCCCTACCCCCTAATTCTTTTCTTCTTCGTCGATCGACGAGCGAGCAGCGCGCACGCGCTTCTCGTCCGGCGTGGGAAATCGCATGGGAAATTTCGCGAGCATTAAATGTTTCACAGGGGGTACCGAATCAACGGACGCGCGCCCCGTCGATGACGACGACGAGGTGGAGACCGAAATGAAATTTTACATTATTCAACGCTGCCCTCCTCCTTTCTCTCTCTCTCTCTCTTCTCCAAGTACGGTCAACTTGTTAACCGTACGCGCCCTCGTTACTGAATCAGCCGCGAACTATAACCGGTCTCCGAGGTATACTCGGGGGTGTCGAACGCGCAAAAGATCGGCGAACAGAGGGTACAGGGGGAAAAGAAGGGGAGGTTTATCCCGTGGGATGAGGCCAAGGAACTGTACCTTCGTTTATTTGACGTAAGCAACTTTTTTAGAATTTTACGACGCGTTTCCCTGCCTTTGTAGAGGACCCCGAGGAGACCTGATTGACGATTGGATTTTACAGTTCCGAAAGATAAAGAGTAAACCGCGAAGAAATTACATGGTTTTATTTGCGTGGTATTCTAATTATTTGGTAAAATTAATTTAACATGTCTATACAAATGATATATACAGCTCGAAAATTTTTGCGCTTTTGATATTTTAATTATGAAAAAAATGGACCTTCTCATTTAATTGAAAGTTTTATTTAATGAATATTTTGATGCGTGAAATTCTCGCGCGATTTTATTTCATTTTCATATTTTATTCAACATTCCTGAAATTAAAAAAAAAATGTAATATCCCGCATGAGAGCGAGATTCTGCTAAATATGCTGCAACGTAGAATCAGTTGCGGAAAGAACATGCATGCCATTTTGAAAACTTGACATTTGTGATGATATTTTTCCGCGAAACTTCTATCCGTCTTTGTGACTTTAATAACGCTGGTTTGTGTCATTATAATCAGTATAGTAGCACCTAAGCTTCACCTCCGGCTTTTGGACTTATATTGCAGTCTCGTATTAAAGTGTTGTGTACGCGATTTTCTGTTTTCTCTCTTTAACATGAGATTTGCATTTTGCGAAATGCGCCAAAAAATGACGGTGTTATTATTATAATTATACGCGAGTGTTTTTAAAGCAGTTTTAACGGCAACAACAAACGCGAGATTTTCAAGGAAACCATATCCTTTTTTCGAAATTATCATATTAATGCTACGTCATTAGAGAAAATATCAAATATGTCGTTTAGAAGATGATTAATACTATATGTTCACCTTTGACATTTCCAGTTGAAATAAAAAAAAAATTACATTTATTCGTGTGAGGAATTCATTGCTAATTGTTGGGGCGTGTCAAGGAGAAAGAAAAAAAAACTGAACCCTAAACTTAATCCTAACAAAAACTTAACTCTAATTGAATCGTAGTTGATGAGACGAGGGTGGAAAGTTTACTCCGTGTGTTACAATTTCTCTTATTCAGGATTTTCTGCTGATTAAGTGTTTCTCGATACGTCTGAACGGATTTATTTTACATTGCGTAATAAATATAAATATTTATTCATCTACCAATATTACAGACGTTGATCGCGCGAAGCGGGAGTAATTGTAGGGAATTATGAAACTAATGATCGTAACTTAATATCGCACGATTATTATTTACGATTATCCCACAGTTTGCCGGTGGCAATCGTTTTTTACGATACTCTTGCGAATTCTCATCGCGAGAATCGTTATGAAATACGGGTACGTTTAATTTAGCGGAACGAGGCGGCACCGATGTATATCATCGTGCAAAAATTCGCGAACCGCTAATTACCCTGGAAATGGCCAACAATCGTGAGTTTATAAGGAAATTACGTTCTTTTATCCTCTTTTACGTAACGCGTTTATGCAGAAATTAATTCCAAGGGGAATATCCCATTTTCATTAACGACTATCAAGCAAAATATAATTATTATCAACGTTATATACATTATTGCAATTATATAAAAATATAATTAAATCGTCATTATTATTTAAATATATTAAGATCGCGTATCTCTCCCTGCGCTTGTGTTTTTGTAATTTATATACGAATATATGATATCGCGCGGGATACTATATTAATTAAAGCTATGCGGCCGATGAATTTATCGAAGCTGCGAATTACACGTGCGAATTTGAAATAGCTAAACGCGATAATGAATTTGCCATTGCGGTGATAAAACGTGCCTAATATCGCCGATATACGCAAATTCTTTTCGCGCGATACACGCTCCGGTGACGCGCGAATAATCCGGTCGAGCGAGAGAGAGCCGGCTTAATAAATCAGAGAGGGATATGAAATTGTTGCGCCCGGCTGCTCATTTTCGCGTCGTACGACACTCCTTAACGTCGGCGTAATCACGATGCCGTCGGATTTACGAGCCGGCGCGCCTTGGACCTTTAGCTAAGGATTTGCTAAACTCGAGTGATATATATATATATATATATATACATATATACGGGGTGTCCCAGAACTGGCAGTAAACCTGTTAAGGAGATGCTGCCGTTGTTCTATCGACTTTAATTTGGATCACTTTTTATTGAATATACAGATTGAAAAGTACGAATCTTTTGATACAGGCTTTTAATCTTATTTTTATTACTTCTGTATTATTCTTTCATGTCATCTCTATTAGGAGCGCCATATTTTGTGCACAAATAAACTGCAGAATTTTTGTATTAAATAAGTATTGTTATAAGCTGATGCAAGAGGAAATTTATTAATTTCATGTAGAGTT